GGGATACCCATAGTGAATGTCCAGGGCGCATTAATATTCCTAATATTAATGCCAAAAAGTCAAGTTCCCCCATACTGACCCGAAAGTAACCCGAATAGTGGCAAGCACCAACAGCAGTTTAGTCATTTATGTGTCAATTCGCAGAAGAAGCCGCCGATGGGTGCCTCTTTCGAGGAATGCTTAAAAGCAAGCCGATAATAACTTCCTCAAAGACCGGAAAAGTTAGCGAACCCCCACAAAACAGAAAATACCTCGAACCCCGCAACAGCTCCTACAAACCCACATGATGCCCCCTTGAAGCCATACGGCCTGGCCGGAACCGTTGAATGCATTCAGCATCGCAAACCGCGGTTCGGCCCCAGCTATTTATTTTCGTTCAGTTCGAGGAACAATCCACCGCTAGGAGAGGTAAATTTCAACCATCGGGCAGCTGCTTCGTTTTCACTCGTTTCGCTGGTGGTTATCTTCGCCATCGAGAGAGGGGGGGGGGGTCTTCTGTTGTGGTACCCAAGCCCGGAGCTTTATTCCGGTGCGCTGCGGTTCAACGCAAGTGGCGATTAGCGCTTGGAATACTGGGACTATCAGCTGCTGCTTGATTATCCGGGTCTGCTTTGGACAACTTTTCCAATTGCTTCGACCAGTACTGCTGCACTGTCTGAGCACTGCTGACGACCATTCGATCTCCTGCTGAAGCGATTTTTACCAGCTCAGCGTGGATACCACATCTGTGTGAGGGAGAGATACGGATAGTCGAAGTTCGTTGTGTAATTTAGCCAGAAATAGCACAAAAAATCAACAGAAAGGGTTCCAAATTCAGTGTGGATCTGCCTTTCCAGCTAGGGTAACAAGGCCTAGCGTACAGTCAGTGGGTGGGCAACTCATGTTAGTGATGTTATTGCAATGTTCCCATATGCTCGATCCTGGGCTACATGCGCCCAGTTGGTAGCTACCGTTTTCAGTTGGGGGTACCCGGAGAGTACCAGTGCGTGTTATTTTTCATTGTTCCTCCACACGGGTTTGCTCAGCTGATTAGCTTTTTCCTTTTGCCTATAAGGCCTTTACGGCCCGTACTGCCTTCCGCTTTGCACACATCTCTGTTTTAGGTTATGCCAACAGTCGGTCACTCGCCCGTTTAGTTCTGCTTTTGCCATGTTTTTCTCTCACTTTGGTACCGCGCGCACGCCCCCCTTTTGTTCAGGCTTGTTTTGCATGTGTCTCTGTTGCAGGCTCCGTTCGAGTTCGACCGATCGATCGATCGATCATGTGAAGCCGATACTATGCTGCAAATATTTGGTTCGGAAACGCTGAAAAGTGAATATTCGGAAGCGGGTTACACCAGCGATGCTGCGTCCAGTTATGAGGAAAAAGTTAGAATACTTGAATTAGCTGCAATTCATAATTGTCTCTTCCTCCAGCTCTAGAACTTCTCCAGTTGCTTTGACCAATGCTGCATCGGCTGGCAGTCATCTGCTGGCGATCCTGGCATTCATTTCATCTTTTGAAGGAATTATTGGCCTAACTTTTTTTTTCTGGCAAAAACGTTTGCTGTCGTTGCTATTTGTTGAGCATCACCACCTCTTCTCGAAAGTTGCCTACTCGTAGACTGAGATAAGACGCCTGAAATGACTGACGGTCAGCAAGACGTAGTTTTGCACCTCGCCTAATCCCATGTAACATGCGGTGCTGTTTGTGGCGTCATGGCCCGCATTGTGTTCGCATGTTGCACTTGGTCTGTGTTTACAGCTAAGGGATGAAACAAAGGCTGCATCCAAACATGCCTTCTTACACATGTCACTTAATCTGGTCCCTTCTCTCCTGTCCCGTTATTTCAGCACTGAGGTGAACACGATTGTTCCAGTGCGACATGGACACTTTGTTAAAGTTTTTTCAACCTCCAGTCCTTTAACTACAGTCCTCTGTTGGCGATTGTGGTGCATATTCGTTTCTGGCCTAGATAGGTGTAGCTTTCTAGACCAAGTAATTTGGCCTCAGATTAGCACTTTGCATCGCCTTTGTTTCATGCCTTAATATTCAGGCCCCGGGATCCTTTTTTTTTGTGCGTCGGATCCAGATTTTTTTGCTCCCACTCTGGGCTGATGAAATCGTGATGATGAAATGCTGTACATTCTTGC